AGATGAGCCGGCACTCTCGCCAGCTCGAAAACCGGTCTTGCACGCATCCTTGACCGAAAGCTCCGTGAAACCGGCCGGCTCCTTGGGTCTCCAGCCTGGGTCTGAGCCACCTCGGACTCCGCAACACGGATGGAGCGGCTTGTGCGTCCCTCCCCACGCGCTTCTGAGACGGCAGCAGCTGCCGCACGGGCGCCCCACCGTTCTCCGTCCCATCCTCCGTCCCATCCGACATCCGAGAGTCCGAGAGGGAGCCCTCCCGCCGCCCCCCCCCCCCCCCAGGCTCCGAGGTGGCCCGAGGCCCAGGGCCCGGCCCACTGGGTCGGTGCCCCTCGAGCTCCGGATTCGGCGGAACCGGTGAGCGGGGCCTTTGTGTCCCTGTGCCCCGTCCGTCCTGGTGAGATGAGGGGCGCCCTGGATGAGGGGCCTGGGGTGCTCCTCGGTCCCAGCAAAGCCTCTTCTGCAGGGTGCTCATCTCGGAGCTGCCTGGGGCCCTTTCATGGACGGGCACAGTCTCCTTAGGGCGGCCGTCCCGCGGCTCCAGCTTCCCGAGCTCCGCGGGGCTGTGCCCCCCCCCACCGCGGCCCCCCCCCCCTCCCGCCCTGTGCCGGCTCTGGGAGCCCTCAGGCAAGGGGCGCGGGAGCTGCCGAGTCGGCGTTGTGTCCCCGGCGGTGAGCCTGGGCGAGCCTGTCGCGGGTCCTTCCGCTGTCCTTAGGGGCTCCGCCACCACTCGAGCAAGGCCCCCGCGTGGCCGGGCCCCCGGAGAGCAGCACGGCCCCTCTCGCACCCTGCCGCCGGGTCCCCACCGGCCGTCACAAGCTGTGGCAGGAAGAAGGCCGCGTCTGGCACGTGCGGTCAGGACGAGGCGTGTCCGTTTGGGGCCTCCAACAGCAGTTTGAGAGGGGACGGCGGTGTTCACGAGGCCCACGCAGCATGCTGGCCAGCTTCCGCTCCTCCTCCCGGCGGAGGCCCCAGCGCGGGACCAGGAAGGCGTGTCGTCGGCCCAACCGGATCCGCCTCCGTGACTGCCCCTGGCCCCAGCCCCCGCCCCCGTTCTGGGGGAGGCGTAGGGAGGGGTGGTTCCCCACCCCCTTCCTGTCCCTTGCAGGCCATGCGGACACTTTCTCACGCTGCCTCCCTCGGCCCCGAACCCTCTCGGCCGCCCTGGCCGCCCGCAGCCACGCTCAGCCAGCCCCAGCTCTCCAGCCCGGCTTTCTCTTTCCGCCACGGCCCCCCAGCTCTCTGCGCCCCAGGTCAGGCGGCCCTCCTGGGCTGACCCTCCGGCCCCCGCTCACGGAGCAGCGACCTGCTGTCCAGTCTGCGGCCCGGGCCCCGCAGCCCATCGGGGAGGGAGGGGTGGCCACTGGGCCCACACGGGGCGGCCGGCCACGTCCAGAGCCGTCCCCACGCTGGCAAAACCATCCCCCCGCACCGTCACGTGCTCCGCCTGAGCTTCCCTCCCGGTGCCGCGATGGTGAGGCCTTCCTCCTCCTCCACCGGGGCTCCTCGCCCACGGTGGGGGGGGGGGACCCTGTGCACTGCCGTCCGGCCCACCTCCTCGCTCTGCCTCCTCGGGCCCTGCAGCCCCCGGATCGCGCTCCGTGACGAGGCGCCACGGTGTGCTAAAGCCGGCTGAGGAGGACTCCGGCGCCCAATTCTCGGTGCTGCCATTCCCTGCCAGACCCCGGGCGGCCGACCTCCTGGTCTTCCCGGGACGGTCCTGGCTTTAGCGCGGAGGCTGCTGCAACGCAGAAAGCACTCGCGCTCCAGGCCAGCCGGGGTGGTGGTCCGCCCTGACGCAGGCAGCCCCACAGGCCAGGGGCCGGGAGGTCAACGCCAGTGTGAAGTGCTGACCCCCATTCCCCTGGGGGTGTGGGGGCGAGTCGTGTCCACTCATTGGCCGAGGAGGCTCCGTGGGTCCAGTACGCCTCTGTCCTTCTGGGCCACACCTGAAGGCCCAGCACAAAAGGCCTTGAGTCAGGAAACCGGAGCTCCGGGTATCCGAGGAGGCACCATCCACGAGGGCAGTGTCGGCCGCCGCCACTGCCGGTAAGGTCGGGCGTGGGCCACGGGGCGCCCACCGACGCCCAGGGCCGAACCAGCCAAGCGGGATGCGTGTTTGGGGCTTTGGGGCTCTCTCCTCCCTTGAGTCTCACTGCCAGGGATTTGAACAAAGTTTTCTACGACTGTGTTCTCCTGGTTCCTCGGTGTTCTCCGCCAGCCCTGCCCTGGAGCCTCTGCCCGGGCGCCCACGCTGCACGCCCGACCTCCACGAGTGCTGCGGGCTGCCGCCATGACGGCACGCAGAGGCTGGCGTTCCGACCCCAGCGCCCACCCCGCACCCGCCTCCGCGCCTGCCCTGGGAGTGCTGGGTCGATTTTTGAGTGACCCGTTGTTCTCATGGCCACTCGTTTCTGGCTGCTGTTTGTTCCCTGTTGCCTGAGTGTAAGCGCAGGCTCCCAGAGCGTCTGTCCACATATTGGTTACAATCCCTCTGTGCATGACCTCCTGACCCTCTGGCTAGAGCTCCCCTGTAAGACTCCACTGCCACCGCCGCCATCATCATCGCCATCACCACCACCACCACCATCATCACCATCACCACCACCACCACCATCATCACCATCACCACCATCATCACCATCACCACCATCACCATCACCATCATCACCATCACCACCACCATCATCACCATCACCACCATCACCACCACCACCATCATCACCATCACCACCATCACCACCATCACCATCACCATCACCACCATCACCACCACCACCACCATCATCACCACCATCATCACCATCACCACCATCACCATCATCACCATCATCACCATCACCACCATCACCACCACCATCACCACCATCATCACCATCACCACCACCATCGCCATCACCACCATCACCATCCCCATCACCACCATCACCACCACCACCATCACCACCATCACCATCCCCATCACCACCATCACCACCATCCCCATCATCACCACCATCACCATCATCACCATCACTGCCATCATCACCACCGCCGCCACCCCAGCAGCTGTGCCTGTGCGCCTACCCTGTGGGAGCGACGCACTGCGTGTGTCTCTAATCGCCGTCCTAACCCTTTACAAGCCTCTAACTTCCACTCGTATCCATCTGAGGAGACAGACCCCCGGAGATGAACTTGAGAACAGACTCATCTGTGGCGGCCGTGGCCCTGTAGTCCCGACAGGCGTCCCCAGCCACATAGCACCTCGGGCTCACCGCAGTCTGTGCGCCCGAAATGAGACTCATTTCCTTCCCCTTCGGTCAGTTTCTGCACCTTCTCTGCGCACAGACTCGTTAGCCACCTAGAAATAAGTTTCCAGCCCCGATTTCTCGGTTCCGGTCAGGATGGAAAATGTGGTATCCATGTTTCTCCCCTTCATCCTGGTCGTGACTGGTTCTCCAGGAAGTCTCCCCCACGCCGTTCCCTCTTCACGTTTATCCCAGAGAGGCACGACCTCTGGGACCAGACCGGGTGGCTTTGAACCCTGGCACCTCAGGGCATGCCTGGGTGGATTTGAGGAAGTCGCTTCATCTCCGAGTTCCAGGTTGGGGCGCCGACACCGGCCAGGCTCGTCGTGAGGGTCCGTGAGACGGACTGAGGGGACGTCCAGGCGTCAGCTGGCGGTCCTGCCTCTGTTCCCCGCCCGTGGACACACCTGCCCCCTGTGTCCCCCTGGTCGTCAGTCCTGTGCACCTGCTGCCCGTCACAGCACCGCCCAGGGTCACGAGCACAGCCCCGCCCTCCGCAGCGCTCAGGTTCCCTGCTCCTGCTGTTTGCTCCCCCACCTCCCACATTTCGCCCCCCCCCACATTCCAGGTGTCCCCGACTGAGCCCCACCCTTCCTCCTTCCCAGATGCCGCTCAGCCCGGGGCTGGGGGGGGCACTCCCTGCCTCCTCGACGCGCCTCACGCCCCCACTGCCGGCTCCCCAGTGGCAGAGCACACACGCCACCGGGTGTGGCTGGCCCGGCAGGCTCATGGTCATGCACGCGTCGCTGTTTTCCGGCCGCGCGGGCTCCTGGAGGGCGGAACGGGATCGGCCTGGGGAGGTGTCTCTGTGTGTGTGTGGTGCGGTGCACGCGGTCGCCCTCTGGAATATCCGTGTCTGGCAGGCACAGCGGGCTGGATTTCACTTTGAAACCCGGAAGGAATATCGGGGCCCAGAACATTCCGGGCCCCACGCGGGCCAGGGAGCCCAGAGGGCAGCTGGGGCGGGAGGCAGGCCCGGGGCGGGGCCAGGTCCCTGCAGACGCCCTTCCCGTCCGGGGGCAGAGCAGATGCAGGGGTGGGGGTCCCTCCCGGGGGACCTGTCCCCCCGCTGCTCCGCGCTCCGCTCCTGAAAGGTGGCCCCACGCCGGTGGCAGGCGCCACAGTGTGTGGCCCCCAGGGCCTGTGGCTGCAGCACCTTCGGCGTTTCCCTGGGACTTGATTCACAGCTGCACCGGGTCGTGAGCCCCTCTGTGATTCTTTAAATTTTTTTTTTTTTAATTGCTTGCTCCTAAAGATGAGGCCCCGAGTGAGTCATCTCCTACTCTTTCCAACTTTCGTTCGTCATATCGAGTGACAGGGCACCCGCTGGGTTGTCCCCTGCTTTTAGGGACCTGTGTGTGTGTTTCGCTGAGATGTGATTGGCACCGAGCACTGCGTCGGGTTCGGGCGTACGGCACAGCGATCTGGGGCTTGTGTGCCCTGCGGCACGGCGGCCACGGCAAGTCCAGGTGACGCCTGTCCCCACCCAGTCACAGTCCCACCAGCTCCTGTGTATCAAGAGCCACTCCAGGCGCACAGGACGTGGCCCGGCCCGGTCACCCCTTGACGCTGGGAGGCTGGAGCAGCGCCTCCCCCGCCGCCCCCAGGGACCAGCTGCGCACGCACTAACTACAGCCCCGGGGGGCCGGCTCTCAGCACTTCCACATTCCCCCCTCCCCCGCCGGCCAGCCGGTCAGGGACGGCCAGGTACAGGGCGGGGCCTGCTGGAGCCGTCCGTCCGTCCGGAGGGCCTGGCAGGGCTCGTCCCACTGCTGCTGGCTCAGCTGGCGGTCCAGGGTCACGTGGTGGCTTCATAACCTACAGGATATGGATGGTTAACCAGCTGCGTTTGGGCAGAGAGGCGTTACTCTTAAGTAGGAAGTGGTAATTCAGCAATTTGCTTTTGTCCCATTCTGGTCTCTCGCTGACTTTTCTTGATGACCTCTGGAACTCTTGTCCTCAGAGTCCCGCCGGCGGCCGGGCGCCTGGAGCATCACCGGGAGGCGTGACCGAACCATTCTCCGTGGGCCCCGGCATGGCTTCAGGTAAGCACGGCGCCGCCTGCGCCCCTTCCGAAGCGTCTCGGCGTCTCTGGTCCCCCCACCGGAGGGCCTTCGGACTCGGGACTGCTTCCATGCAGAGATTCCAGAGCGCGGGCGGGTGGCCTGGGCCTGCACCGAGATGCACGCGCTTCCCGGCGTGGTGCTGCCCGTGTTGGTAGCGGTGCTGTGCTGTCGAGAAGTCCGCTGGCCCTGAAACGGCCCGGGACCGTGAGAGCGCTCATTCTAACCGCCTCTCCCTGGAGCCTGGGGGAGGTCTGGGCATCGCCGAGAGAGAGAGAGAGAGAGAGAGGGGGAGGTGATTTTTTGTTTAACCGAGGACGCAAGGAGGGCTGGGGAAGCTGGGCGCTGAGCTAGGAAGGGTTTGGAGGCACTGCGGGAGGTGGTTGATGCAGAGCAAGGCTGGGAGCTGCTGTGTGGGATGGCGGGGGTCCAAGGGAAGGGGTTGGAGAGGAGAACCGAGAGGAATTGCGCGGGGGCGGGGGGGGACGTGTTTATGGGGAACAGTGTGGTCCCGGGGAATCTCTGATCGCAGGTGCAAATGCGGTGATGACAGTGAAGTCAGGCTCTCGAGGCCACGAAAGGTTCCCAGTGGTTTTAGAAGGGTCCGCCAGAGACCCCCGAAGCCGGCAGGGGAGCGGAAAACAGGCACCCCAGACGCCGGCGCTGTAAAGAGACGGAGGCAAAGTGTGAATCACAGTGGTTCTGGGGAGGGTTAAAGAGATACTTTCTGTAAATAAGAAAGAAAATGTGAGAGCTGGCTTCCCAAGAGGCAGAAGGAACCGAACACAAGAGAAAAGAAACCACCAACCTATATACAAATCACTGGAAAAAACCTTCAGCCTTCTTTGTGAACCGCTCTTGCTCAAAAGCAGAAGGAAGCCGGCCCGGGGTTTCAGCCGCACCGCCGCTCCTCTGAAAGGGGCCGGGCCGCGCGGGGCCGGGGCTTCAGTTAAGAGCTGAGAGAGCGTGCTCGTTGAACGCGGGCCGGCGCGGCGTGCGCGGTTCTGGGCTCCGCAGGCGGGTTTAGCAGAGCCGTGTCACCTAAGGCCCGTGGCAGTTTCTCGGTCCCGCGGGACGGCCCTCAGCAGATGATGCACGGGCGGGGTGGGGGTGGGGCGGGGGGGGGAGCCCAGCCGTGTGGGTGAGCTGCAGCCTTCCCGTCGGTGCAGGGGGCGCGGTACCCACCCAGGAGGCTTCCTGAGGTTCCAGAGATAGAGATCAGTGGTCCCCGTGCCCAGAAAGCACCTGGCGGCCACCGCCCAGCACACACGTGTGCCTCCACACCTGCACACATGCACGTGCGACTGTGCAAAACATGTGTGCACACATGCACGAGCACATGGGACATGCATGTGCACCCATGCACGCTAGCACATGCACCCACACACGGCACATGCATGCACATGTGCATACAGGCATGCTGGCGCACACAACACACACACACGCCCTGTTGCCCTGCAGTATCACTATTCAGGAAAGGAAGCACAGATTGTAAGTCTTCCGATTTGATTTAATTTTAACAAACAAACTTGTGATCACCTCTGTCTAAACTAAAAATGTAACGCAATTTTCTTCGCTGATGGTATTTCACGACTGTTATTAAAGATATCTTTCCTATATTTAATTTTCTCGGGTAAGGCTGCCCTCGGCCACACGGACCAGCCGCTGGGGTTGGCCTGGCAGCCTTCCCTGCCCCCTCCTCTGCTCTCGGCCCCCGCCCCCCCTGCGCCCGGCCCCACCCAGCCACCTGGGCGCTGATGGCCGACTCCCCTGCCCTGAGGGTCTGTGGTCCCTTAACGGACACCAGCTAAGACGCTTGCTGCTACAGACTTGGAGGTCTCCCTCCTGTCCCCGGTCCCCTGCTCAGGACCAGGGACTCCCGAAGCCTCAAGGTCCCAAGGGTTTCGCCGAAGCAGAGGCCAGGAGGCCCAGGGGCGGCGGGGGGGAGAGGCGGAGCGTACGGGCTTTTCCTCGGCTGCACGGAGTGGGCTGTCTCCCTCCTGATGTCAGGCAGGTCTCGTTGTTCTCACTTTGGAGCGAATGCGCCAGTTTGCCGTCTCTGAGACGTTGTCTGCCTAACAGAAACGATGCTAGAAACCCACGTTATTTCATTGCAAGATGAAGTGTTTTAACTACCACGTTTAAAACGCGGCTCTGATCACGTCGCCACTAAGTTTTTCTCCAAGCAGCGTCCTTCTCACGCGCGCGCGGCGCCGACATGTTCCCGGTGCCTCACCAGCACACGTCCGGTTCTCGGGGCCCCGGACCCGTGCCCGCCACCGAGAAGGCGACGTGTGTGCCCCGCCCCCACCTTAAACGCAGCAGCGACACGAGGGGCCGCCTTAGCGTCCGCGCCTCTGAGAGGGAAGCAAGGCGGCGCCGAGACGTGTCTCTCCGTGAGCGCCGGCTTCCAGGCGCGTCTGAGATGAGAAGGTGGCCGGCCGGGAGGTGGCTGGGAGCCCACCGACTCTGTTCCCGCGTTTCTGGGTGACAGGCTGTGGTCCCCGAGAGAGACTGTCCCAGGGGCCTGCGTGCCACCTGAGGGCCGGGGATCCCTGCCCCCCGGGCACACGCCCCGCCGCGCCGCCAGGGTCAGCACCGCGGAGGGCGAGCTGGTGGGCGAGCCGCGGGTGTGCCTGGCACCTGTGCCTGTCCTTTCACGGGTGGGTTAGGGAGCTTCCCCCCGGGGTGCTCTGTCCCCCGTGTCCCAGGAGACACCACGTGTGAGGAGGTGGGGGGAGCTCCTGGAGCCGAGGTCTAGGGCCGTTGACCCCGGCTGCGGTGTGGACCCTGGAGGAGGGTGCAGTCAGCGGTTCCCAGCCGTCCTCACCCGGAGCACCCCTCCCGCCCTTGCTCCCACCCAAGCCCCCCGCGCCCCGAGGACTCACGCAGAATTAATTGCTGGGCTGTCCCCCATACATCATTGTTTGGAGCCAGGTCCCCTGTGATGCACCAGTCCTCGCAGGGCCGTGCGTCCCGGCCATGGGGACGGGTGCAGGACCACCCCTCTCGCCGGCCTTCAGGCCATGCAGATGCAGGCAGGCGCCGGCACACACACAGAAACACCCCTGGGCCGGAGGGGCCCTGACCGTCCGACACGCTCGCTCACTGGTAGCGGGTCCAGGCTGCGGAAGGACGCTGGGCACCTCGGCCGTCCATGTGAAAACGTTCTTCTCCAAGGCTCCCTGCTTCTGTCGCCAGGCCACGGCAGCTGGACGGGGCCTGGGAGCTTGGCTCCGGCAGCCTCCACGGACCGTGGCCAGCAGCCCGCCACGTCCAGGCTCCCGTGCGATGAGCAGCCCGGACGCCCAGGCACAGGGGGCTCAAGGCACTTCCCGGGCGCATGGCCAGGTCTCCCCCCGCCACCCCGTAGATGCCACTGGAGTGTTTCCCAGGAGGGCTGGTCCGGGGTGCTCGTCCCGCTGACCCCAGCGGGCAGGGGCGTGTCCCGGCCTGTCACTCACCCTCCTCCCCAGGCAGAGCGGGGCCCACGGAGTCTGACTCGGCCGGTCGGGGCGGCCTTGTTTCCACCTCCTGCCCCTCTGGAACTCGCCCCTGGGCCTGGCAGGGAGCTGGCCATCCTGCAGGACAGCCCGCGCCCTTGGTGGAGAGGCGTCCAGACAGTCTGTCCACTGCGAGGCCAATTCTTTCTCTGCGGTCTCTGTGCCAGCGTCTTCTCACCCTTGGGGGGCTGGTGGGGGGAGTCCAGACCCTCTTTCAAATGACAGCGAGTAGCTGACGGCCTCATTCATCACCTGCCCGTCACTTTTTTTAGGGCCGAACACCCCCAGGTCTGGACCCAGCGGTTTCCGTCACCGTCAGCCCCTTGCTTCGGCCGGTTCCAGCGTCACTGGGCGTCGCTGTCGTCTGACCCCGCAGGGGGACGGGGCTGCTCCTGCCGCGTTCTGAACGCTCAGGCTTTTTTTTGGTAGTTTCTTATTTTATTATCTTTTTTGCTTTAATCTTTATTGTGTTTTTTCCCATGCCCATTCAGTCGCCGTGTACCCCCAGCCCCAGCAGCCCCCACACTGCGGCCTGCGTGCACAGTTTCAGCAGTTCGCTCCCTTTTCTATGGACCGAGGCCACCAGAAGCCGCCACCGATGCAGCAGCTGAAACAACCAAACGTGGTGCCCGGCAGCTCTGCGGGCCAAAGCCTGGCCCAGGTCTCGTCGCGGCCTGGCACCCAGGAGCCGGCAGGGCCGGGCTCCTCCTGGAGCTTCTGAAAGGGGCGGCTTGTCCCGGCTCGGGCAGGCTGTTGCCGCGGTTCAGCTGTTGTGGCTGGAGGCCCCAGACTCCCGTCCGCATGCAGACTGTCCGCAGGGGGCCTGTCCCAGCTCCCAGGACCCTCCCGGTCGCGTGACCTGCGGTGACGACACAGCGGCGGCAGCAGACAGACACCCGCTCACGCTTCGGATCTCCCATCCCCCCCCCCGCCCCGGCTATCTCCCCCCGCTTCTCCTCCCCCATCTCAGCCGGGACAGAGTCCCCACTTTGAGAGCTCACAGCCGCCTCGGGCTGCCTGGAGGGTGCGGGCCTGCCCCTCTCCAGGTGGGTCCCCTCGGTCCCGCTGGCAGGGCTCCTGCTGCCCCATAGCGGCACCTGCTACAGGTCCCAGGGGTGGGCGGGGGTCGCCGACCTCCCAGCGCTGCCGCACGCTGTCACGTGGGAGGTCCCTTGTCCTCACCGAGCGCTGAGGACCCTCTTCAGACCCCTGCTCCGCTTCCACCCGGGAGTGGACCCTCCCAGCCCCCGGGGGGGAGAACCTCCGAGCCCCCGGGCGGGGCCTCCTGTTCTCCGGCGGAGTGTCCCCCCCTGCACCGCATCTGCCGCTGGTGTCCGTGCCCAGGGTTTGCCCGTGGGCCCTCTCCTCCGGCACCGCACCGGTACTTCCGGGCTGCTCGTCGCCTTCAGACCCGGGGAGCTCGCCTCCTCTCGTTCGGTCCCCGACGTCGATAGGATTGACGGCGGCCCAGGGCGGGGGACGCAGAGACCCCCGTCAGGGTCTCGCGCTGGGCGGCCGTGAGGGCTGGTGCCACGGGGCCGTCGCCAAGCGAACACCCACCTGTGCTTTCGCCTGGCCCCCGCGTCCCCGCCCGCCTTTCAGCTGGAATCGCAGACTTGCAGTGTCTGCGCTGCACTGCCCCCCCATCCACGGCAGTCTGCACGTGGTCATGCGTCACAGTCGCCACGACAACCACGGCTGGGAGCTGACGAGACACACGGCCAGGAAATGCTCGCTGGCCGAGAGCGCCCCGCCCGCCCCGTCCTCCTGTCACTCCCGCCTCCGAGGCCCAGTGGCCGCTCCCGCACGCAGACCCCGAAGGGCTCTCTGCCGGTGGGCTTGGGAGGGTCTACGCAGGTCCGTTCCCTGGGACTCTGCGGGCACCGGCGGCGGGGGCCGGGCACCCTGAGTTCCGGGGTCTCCGCCGGCACCACCTGGGCCCAGGCAAGTGCCCCGACTGGGGACGGAACCCCAAACCTCTGGTGCACAGGGGCGGCGCTCCAACCCGCAGTGCCACCTGGCTGGGCCCAGAACCCTCCGCTTCAAAGAGTCCCCCCCCCCCTCCCCCGTCTGCGCTGCACGGCGCCCCCAGCAGGAGCAGCCCGTCTCCCGGGAGCCGGCAGCCGCTGCTCCAGGTCCGAGGCGGTGCGGGGGCACGGCAGGTGCCCCAGCCTCCCCGCGGGCCGTGGCGGCACCGCGGCCCCGGCCTGATTTCCCCGAAGCAGCTTTGTGGTGCTGCGGTGGTCGCGGCGGCTGAATCACTTCCAGGAACGCCCAGCGACTGGCAGCCGAGTAACGTGACCATGGCCGCTGCGGGGAGTGCCAGCCCCGAGCCACAGCCGCCCGATGCCGTCACTGCCCCTGCCTGCGTGTCGTCTGCGCCCCGCAGCCCCGCCACCACCGCTGAGAAATGGGGAACCGGCACCCCACGGGGGCGGGTCTCTCACGACCGTCCCCATCACAGCCAGGCAGGGGCGAGGGGGAGTGAAACAGCGCCTCCCCATGGACGCCGTCGGGAGCGCAGGCGCGGCGTCTCCCGCGGAGCAGGGCAGAGCCTTCCGCGACGCTGCGCTTCTGGTCCCCAGGGGCCAGGCCCTGTTGCTCCCTGTGCCCCACGGCCACCGCGCGCGGCAGCACTCGGGCGTGTCTGAGGGGTCCCTGGCGGCGGTTGGTCCGGGCGCCCTCGGGGCCGCGCTCAGGGGCGTCTCCCGGACGCGTGTGGAGCGGGGTTGAGTCTGAGGTCAGACAAGGTGACGTGTCGTGCACGCGGGGGGCGGCTGGGGGCCGGAGGGGTTGCCCTTCGGAGGGGTGTCAGCCAGGCACAGCGCTGGCCACCCGCTCGGCCTTCGCCGGCCGCCCCACCCCGCGCCCCTCAGCGGGGACCCCGCCTCCGTGGGGCGTGAATGCCGCCTGCGCCAGCCCCGCGCCCGCCTCGCTAAGGAACGCTGGAGGCCCCTCCCCTCGGCGCGGGGTCCGAAGCGGTCCCGTCTCTCGGTCCCCAAGGTGGTCCCAGCCCCCTCCCCCCACTTCATGCCTTCCCCGCCCGCCGCTGCCCCTCCTTCCCACTGTCCGCACCCCCCCCTCCCCGGGGCCCACGAGCCTCTGCGCCTCCCCAGGCCCCCGCGGGCCCCCCCTCGGACCCGTCACACCCGCCGTCCCTGCGTGTGTGTGGGGGGAACCGTGGGCCGCTGACATGTAGTAAACTCCACGGACGTGTGACTTCCACGGGTGACGTGTCGCCGGTTTGAGCGCGGGCACACTGAGGGCGGCTCCAGCCCCTCCGCCCCACGGCACCGAGAGTCACACACTCGTCTCGGCTCCCCGGCGCGCGTGCGGGTCACGTTCCCACGTGCTGTCGTCCGTGGGTGTGCGGCGGCACGCCGGGAGCGCCACCTGTATCGCCGTCAAGGGCCTCGCTGCTGGAGAGCACCACCGGCGCCTGAGCGCGCTGGGAGAGTGGGGCCCCTCCTCCTACCTCACTCTGCGGAGCTCAGCTGCCCCGGCCTCCCCGGAATCTGACCCTGCCCCCCCAGCTCAGCCGGAGTGCGCTCTCTGCGCCGGCGATCCCCCTGCTCTCGGCGTGAGGTCCCAGAGCCGGGGCGGGGCGGTGCAGCACCCTCCTGGCGCCCCGGCCCACCGCCTGCTCCGCGGGGCTGGTGCAGCTGTCCAGTCGGCGGGCCGGCCGGTCGCCCCGCTCCACAGGCGTGGGGGGGGCTCGGTGCTCCTTCGCGGCAGCAGCGGCCCTGGTCACCTGCGGGGTGTCCCCCCGCCCGCCCCTGCTGCTGTCTCCAAGGACCCCGAGCGGGTCTGTCCTCACAGCCTCTCCCGATCGTGCTGGCCCTGACCTTCTCCCCGCGCTCCGGCTTGTGAGGGTGTTGCTGCGTCCGCCGGCAGACGAGTGGCTGCAGACAGAGTGTGCGTGGGACGCATCCACAGCTTTTTACAAGTAGGCGTATCCCTGCCGCCTTCCAGGTCGGAGTGTCTGGTCAGTTTGTCTTGAGAGTCACCCGCACACACAAGCTTAAAGACGCCCTGGCGGCATTCTCGCGCCCCCCCCACCCAGTGGAAGTGGCGGGGCTGCACTGTGGACGATTTGGGAGTCACAGACGTTTTGGGTCTGTCTTCCCCTCTGCATCCCTGGTCCGGGGGGTCCTGTGGAAGGGGCTTCAGCCGAACTTCGCGCGGAGACGGCTGGGCGGACCCAAGGCTGCGGCTGGGCGGGCGTCACCCCGCTCACGCCGTGGATCAGGGGCCGGCTCGTCGCGGTCGGCGGGGCCCTCGGAGCCCCAGAGCTGTGCCTCCCGGCCCCGCCTGCGGGGGGGTGCCGCCCCTGCTGGGAGTGGGCGGTTTCCCCCGCCGGCACCCCAGTCCCCGGCTCTCCCGGAACCCAGCTTTGACCTCAGCGTCCCCGGCTTCCTTTCCTGCGTAGGCTCCCCTGTCTCCTGTTAGCTCCGCCGGCCGGCCGAGGGTCCAAGTGCCCGCCCTCCTGCGTCAGGCCCTGCCCAGATCCCCGCCCAGCAGCACGATGGCCGCGGTGAGTCCCCGCCGGGTTCGGGCGGGCGGGCAGGCGAGTTCGGCGGGTTGCGGGGGCGGTCGGAGACGCATGCCCCAGTTCACTCTGCCTCTGCTCGCCCCTCAGGAGCTGGAGGCGTACACCGAGTACCTCGAGGACGGGGGCAACGGCACCACTGAGGACTACTGGTCCTGGGGCCCAAGTGACAACCTGCTGTGCTCCCTGGAGGAGGTCAGGGCCTTCTCCAGGCTGTTCGTGCCCGTCGCATACTCCTTGATATGCGTCTGCGGCCTCCTGGGCAACGTGCTGGTGGTGGTCACCTTCGCCTTCTACAAGAAGGCCAAGTCCATGACCGACGTGTACCTGCTGAACATGGCCGTGGCGGACATCCTCTCGGTCCTCACGCTCCCGTTCCTGGCGGCCACGCACGCGGCCGACCAGTGGCTGTTCAGCAGCGCCACGTGCAAGCTGGTGCGGGGCATGCACTCGGTCAACTTCTACTGCGGCATGCTGCTGCTGGCCTGCGTCAGCCTGGACCGCTACGTGGCCATCGTGCAGGCCACCAGGTCCTTCCGCCTGCGGGCCCGGGCGCTGGCGCACCGCCGCGGCATCTGCCTGGCCGTGTGGGCCGTGTCGGTGTTCATCTCCGTGGCCACCTTCGTCTTCTACCAGAAGTACCCGGCGCCGGGCCCCGTGCCGGACGGCGGGCGGCAGAGCTACGTGTGCGAGCCGCGGTATGCCGGCGTGTCCGAGCCGCTGCACTGGAAGCTGCTCATGCTGGGCCTGCAGCTGTTCTTCGGCTTCTTCGTGCCGCTGGTGTTCATGGTCGTCTGCTACCTGCTCATCGTCCGCACCCTGCTGCGCGCCCAGAACGCGAAGCGGCACCGGGCCATCCGCGTGGTGCTGGCCGTCGTGCTGGTCTTCCTGGTCTGCCAGGTGCCCCACAACCTGGTGCTGCTGGTGACGGCGGCCAACCTGGGCAGCATGGGCCGCTCCTGCCGCGGGGAGAAGCTGCTGGGCTATGCCCGGCAGGGCACGGAGGCCCTGGCCTTCCTGCGCTGCTGCCTGAACCCCGTGCTGTACGCCTTCGTCGGCCAGAAGTTCCGGGGCTACTTCCTGCGCATCATGAAGGGCCTACTGTGCGTGCGGCGGGGCCAGAAGTCCCCCGGCTTCTCCTGCTCCAAGATGCAGTCCGACACCTTCGCCTCCAGGCAGAACAGCGAGACCGCGGACAACGACAATGCCTCCTCCTTCACCATGTGACGCGCCCCGCGCCACGGGGGCACGCCCTCGCACGCGTGCACGGTGCCTGGATGCGGGGGAATGTGGACGGGGGGTGGGGAGGCTCGCGGTGTCTTCCCCGTGGGCCCCGGACTGCGGGGGGGCCCGGGCGGGGCCCCTCTCCAGGGGGTGGGGGTGGGGGGTGGGCTCTGGCAGTAGCGCTTCCCAGATTTTCTCGGCTGGAGACACGGCGACGCGGCCGTACTCCACAGCCGGCACCCCTCCAGACGGGCCTGGGGAAACACGGAGTTGGGGGGACTTATTTACAAACACGAACGTTTTCAGAAACATGGGTGAAGCCGTCATAGGCCGCAGCTGCTTCCAGTCAGGAAAAAAAAAATCAAGTAGCTTGAAAAACCAGAACAGAAAACACAAAACAAACAAAGAAATGAAAGCCCACACGCTGCTTGTTCTCGGGGAGAGGTCCCAGATTCCATCCCCCTCCCCCCGCCGGCCCGTCTGCGGCAGCTGCGCAGAAGCAGCTCACGCCCCGCGGTGCCCTCGGCGGTGGGGGCGGGGGTGGCGGCCGTGTGGGTGTGAGTGAGTGCTGTCCCCACAGCCCAGGCCCGCGGGAGAGTGAGTGGAAGCTGGCCGCGGCGTGTCCCCGTAGCCGGCGGTCCCTGCCGAGGCCCATCAGGCCGAGAGCTCTGGGAAGACAGGTGCCCACGGCTCCCAGCCAGCACCCGGGGGCCTCAAGAGATATTTGCTTAGCGCGTCATAACGAAACTGGAGCCGGCAGTGCCGCTCACGGTGTCAGGTGTGAGAAGCCGTTCATCCCCGGGGCGCTGCTGGGAAGAGAGCAGGGAAACGGGGTTGAGGACAGACAGAGGGACGTGCGTCCCCTTCCTCGGGGGACGGGGGCGGGGCCGGCTGCCGGCCGTCCCCGAAGCGGTCCCGCCTGGGACCCGGGCCCGTGAGGAGTCAGGCCTCCTTGCTCTCCTCCGCGCCCAGGGAGTTCGCGGAGCCGGTGCTGGGCAGCGTGCCGTGTAAGTACGGGGACACGGCAGGGACATGACAGGGACCGCGCCGGCCTGCTGCAAGGGGCCGGGCCTGTGGGGAGTGCCGGCGTGTCCCGGGCTGACGGCCGTGTCCTCGGAGCCCCCTTGTCCTCGTGAGCTTTACGTCCCCGTACGAAACTCGGCGCCATGTCTGGGACTCAGAGTCTGCATCTCCGGGCGCCGTGCTGGCTCCGCCAGGCCACGCCGGGATTCGCAGGTGGAGCAGAGGCTGGCTTCCGGCCGTGGCGTCCGGTCTTGGGGGCCGCGGTGTGCAGGGACCCCGAGTCCTTCGAGCCTGTGAGCGGCCGGCTCCGAAGCCAAAGCGAAGGGGGCGGCCCCCCGACGCCGCTCTCCGTGGGACCGTGGCGGGGCAGACGTGGTCTCGGGAGGTGAGCCACGCTCCCAGCCGGCTCGGCGACGTCGGGGCGCCTGGCACGGCCGGGACACGGGCGCGTCCGAGCGACTCCCGTCTCCCGAGGACAGATGCTTGCTTCCCTCTGTAGGCAGCAGCCTCTCAGAGTCTCCGCCACAGTGAATAAAGGTGTTTCTAACGCGTGCTACCCGCTCCCCTGCATTCCGTGACCGCTCTCCTCTGGCTGCCGCAGGCGTCGGGTCAGTCGGCAGGTCGGTGACGGGGTGGCCACACCACAGCCGACTCCCACGGGTGCAGGGCTGTGCGGGGTGGGCTCCTGTGCGGGAGCCCGGGGACCGTCCTTCCACGGTTCTCGGGTCCCCTTTCCACGACCGTCCCCTGCTCCTCGGGGTCCGCGCCTCCTCCTCCGGCAGGACCGCCGTGTGCCCACCTCCAGTGCCCGCCCCGCCCCCGCACCCTGTTCTGCCCGACTGGGGACGGGCCCTGCTCCTGTCGGAACCGCCCTCCTCGGGCCGCGAGTCACGCCGCACAGGCTGCTGTTGGTGCCGTGATCAAACATGTGTGCACGCGGTTGTGACACACACGTGTGTTTACATACGGTCACACCTGTCACTGCTGACCAGAGACGACTTTTCCTGGCTCCCGCTACAGAGGAGCTGAAATGCTGTCAGTAATTGCTTCTGCGTAAGTGAAGTTTCGTCAGCACAAATCTCAGCCGCGGCGGGCATTCAGGCAGGAAGTGCGGCCGTGCAAACACTCGCACTGGTAAGAGGCACGCGGGGGTCGTCTTGCAGTCTGTGTGCTGATTGGCTTCCGGGGCTGTGCAGCTGGTGTTGGAACGACACCAGAAAAGTGCGGTATGTTCAGGTCTTTAAAAACTCTGATGCCATGTACAAAATCCAGGCATTCTGCAGACACCAGAGCACGGGGTCTCCTCGAGCACATGCATGTGCTCACGGTGCGCAGGTGTACGTGTCACAGTGTGCAGGTGTACATGCTCACGGTGCGCAGGTGTGAGTGCTCATGGTGCATGTGCTCTCAGTGTGCAGGTGTACATGTCACGGTGTGCAGGTGTGTGTGCTTACGTTATGCAGATGCGTGTGCTCACAGTGCACAGGTGCATGTGCTCACAGTGTGCAGGTGCATATCCTCACAGTACGCAGGTGTGTGTGTCACAGTGTGCAGGTGCGTGTGCGCGCTCTCAGTGTGCAGGTGTACATGTCACGGTGCACAGGTGTGTGTGTGTCACAGTGCACAGTGTGCGTGCTCTCAGTGTGCAGGTGTACATGTCACGGTGCGCAGGTGTGTGTGCTCACGGTGCACAGGTGTGTGTGCTCACGGTGCACAGGTGTATGTGCTCACAGTGCACAGGTGTGTGCGCACTCTCAGTGTGCAGGTGTACATGTCACGGTGCACAGGTGTGTGTGTGTCACAGTGCACAGTGTGTGTGCTCACAGTGCACAGGTGTACATACTCAAAGTGCGCAGGTGCGTTTGCTTGCTGGGGCTGCCATTACCAAAGGCTGGAGTCTGAGATCCAGGGGTGAGCAGGTGGGTTTCTCCCGAGGTCTCTGCCCTTGGCGTGCCGACGGCCTCTTTTCTGTCTCCTCGCTTGCTCGTGCCTCTGTGCCCCAACCCCCGGTGTCTCCTCTGTGCCCTAATGCCCTCTTCTTACGAGGACCCAGTCAGAGGGGGCGGGCCCACCTGATTACCTCTTTTTACCTCAGTGACCCTTGAAAGGCCTGGGATGTCCAAGTGCGTCACAAAGAGACCAGGAGCTGGGACTTCAGCACAGGGGCTCGGGAGACCCAGCGGCGCCCACGCACCCAGGCAGAGAGCGCGGCCTCTCCCCGTAAACTTCCAACAGGCGGCACCGTTTCCAGACAGAGCCCCCCTTCCTCATAGGCCGCGTTCAGGTGTTCGTGCCCGCTGCGGTGGTTCAGCGGCCTATCCCCACGGCATGAAGAACAGGGACCCTCGTGACCTCGGGCCAGACCACGCCCCCTGTTTAACCTGCCCCGAGTCTAAGCCCCAACACCCCCCGAGACTCACACCTCCTCCGAGAAACCTTCCGTGTCGGGGTTCCAGTGGCCTGTCTGCTGCCCCTGATCCTGCCTGGGGAGGGGCTGCCCCCACCCCCACCGTTCTCCGGCAGGACAGAGGGCAGGTCCCCAACCCCGGTGGCTGCTGTGCTCACTGCAGAGACCTCCCTCTCTTCTTGGGGACCTCTGTCAGCAGGCAGTGGAAGGTGGCTGTGTCGGGCCCGTGGAGGCCAGCCCCCATCGGCCTGCCCGTGTGTCTGCGCAGCCTGTGACTCAGGGTGGCCTCTCCCCATGACCCGGCTCCTGGAGCAGCGTGCAGCCACCCCACCCCCATCTCTGGGAGAGAGTGGCGGGGCACGTTTGCTGTCAGACTAGTCACTCTCCACCCCTCCCCCTGCAGGTGTAGGTCCTCTGATGCCGTCTGCACCCTGCTCCTTGCCCCCCAGGGGCCCGGCTGACGCGGTCTGGTGCCCAGGGATTTGTGTGACACGGCGGGGAGGCTGCAGCGTGCCCAGCTCACTGCAAACTGCCAATGCTTCTGTGTCGGTGCCCCGAGAGGCATTTGCTAGTATAATCATGCACCTGCCGTTTTACTCGGGCGGATCGCGTGAGAACTAAACGCAGGAGCTGTGTCTCTCCTAATCCCTTGGTCCGTTTCTCTGTTGCATCTGAGTCCTGGTAGGCAGTCCAGACGATCAGCGGAGTGCCGCAGTCCAGGCTGTCCTCGTGGTCCAGATGGGCTGCTGTGGCTCCTGCCATCGCACTTCCATTCCAGCCAGCAGGCGGAGGAAAAGGGGAAGTGGTGGTCTTTTCTGTAAGGGCACACCTTGGAAGCTGTGGAAATCACTCCCCCCTCCCCCACCTCTTGGCCTGGAGTCAGTCAAGGGGCTGAGCCGGGTGGAAGGAAGTCTGAGGATCATCTTCCGCTGGCCAGCCCCGAGTCCTCATGGGTGTGGCAGCAGAGGACACGCAGTGAGCCCGTCCACGCGTGGGCAGAAGGCAGAAGGCAGGGTGGCCGCAACAACCACTCACGTCAGAAAGAAGAAGGAAGGCGATTGGCTTTCAGGAAATGCTTAATTCAAGCTGCACTGCGGGGCGACGACAAGAACCCACAATGCCGGCACCGCAGGGAAGGCCGGGGGCCATGTCCCCCGGGCCCCCGTGGGCGCCCGTGAGGGGGGGGCTCCCCCCGCTCACGGCCCTGGTGGACGCCGCTGCCGGGTCCGGAATCCGCCAGCCGGCACGTTCAGGGCACTGCACTGGGGGTCGCCGCCAGCGTGTTGTGAGTCTCCTCCTCCGCCTCGCGCTGGGAGACTACCTGGGTTCCGGAATGGAGGGTGACATTTTGGGGTCCTTCCTCTGAGACGGTTATGTAAGTAGATGAGGTGGCAAGTGATCACGCTGAGGGCGCCACTCAGGAGACCTCGAGTCCTCACGTGACGGAGCCGCGGCTTTGGGAAGGGGGACAGCCCCAGACGGGCCCCCTGGCCTCCGTGACGCGACACTGCTGCCCCCTGCTGGACGCAGGCCGCACCCGCAGAACCGCTCCCGCCCTCCACAGGACCCGCCGGCCCGTGTCCCGGTGCGAGCAGAGGACACGCAGTGAGCCCGTCTGGGGCTCGTCACAGGGGCTTATGCCGTGTTCCCTGAAAACCGGCATCGAGTCCTCAGAATAATTAATTTTAAGACTTTGCCTGCAATATTGCTGCAGCTCACTCTCTTTTTTTACTGCCTCAAATACTCAGTAGATTGGCTTCTTTTTAAAAAATCTTTTCCCTCTGTGACTACTTACACTTTTGTGCATGTGCTTGTGTATTTGTTTTGGTGGTAACATGTGTTTGAGCATATGTGTGTACATGTGATTTAGGAAATAAGATTGATATGTATTTTAGGGTATCCATTTCAGGACAATTTTAAGGACGTGATAACTGACGGAGATTTTACCTTAAAAGATGAGATGCAGTTTACTCGCCAGAAATTAGTTCTGAAACCGTGAAACTAAGCAGCCTCATTTCTCTACCCGTCTGCATTCTGGGCGGGGCCGAGCCTGTTTTCCCCGTAGTGAGGAACAGCGTGGCGTCGGGGTGTCAGCACCCCCCGAGGACCGTCACTGCCTCTGGTCCGCGAGGTCTGCTGGCCGGGGGGGGGGAGGTGGCCGTCTCGGGGCCGCCCGCCAAGGCGGACAGTGGCGTCTGGTGTGGAGATTCAGGAGCCGGGCCTCGCCTTTGAGAAAGACCTTCTCGATGGGCTGCCCCTCCGTCGGCCTCAGCTCCAGTGGCTCCTGTCCATCAGCGAGTGGCCACAGCCGAAGGCATGGCTCGAGAGCCACCAGCGGTGACCCCCCGTGGTCCAGCCTCTCTCCCCGGCCTCACTCGGGAGCCTGGGGTGCAGAGCCGTGGGGTCACAGCCCAAGGCGTGGGAGCTGCCTCGTAAGCTCTCCCCGGCAGTCCTGACCCTTCTTCCCTCCTGTGTCCAACCCGCCACACTCTCCTTCCCCCTCCCTCTCCCCATCTCCCTCGCCCTCCCCCCCTCCCCCTCCCCGAGGCGTCTGCAGCTGCCCGCAGGCCCGCCCTGCCCGGCGGGCACACGGACAAGGGACCAGCCGCCCCTGGGTGAGACGGTTCTGGCCGGAGGCCGAGTTCGAGGGCAGCACGTGGGTCTGGCCCGGCCGGTGCGCCTGCTCACGGTCTCCTCCCGTTGGCTGCGACGGGGCCGACCCCCAGGAACCTCGGCGGGCAGGTGTCTCAGCGAGCAGAGCCCGCCTTAGTCTGAATTCCCACGGACCAGCCCCTCCTGGAGCTCCTGTGTGACCCAGAAATGAAATGACTTTTTGTTACGTCTGACCTGTGGTTGTCCAAGGGGAGGGGTCCCTCTGGGTCTGGCGGTCCTCCTGGACAAGAGACGGCTTGTGCCTCTGCAGGGCGCCCCCCCACCCCCCTGTTGCCAATTGCTCCACGGGTGACCCAGGGCAGTGCCACTGCACGCGAGCCCTCCAGACTGTTCTAGAAGCCGCTGCATCTGCACTCAGACCCTCTGGCCCATTCCGCAGGTGGCAGCAGCTGCCTTCCCAGCAAAGGCCACAGGGTGGGAAGGTTGCTGGTCTAAGCTCTCGCTGCCCTGTATTACACAGCCACCCCCTAGCCACCTGGGCCCTGCACCTGACCCCTGATTTTGGACTCCGCCCTGTGAGTTGCCGTGGCATCGGGACCCAGTGGCTGAGCAGAGGCTGGAATGTGCTCTTGGGCTGGGCTGGTCCTTCCAGCTTTGGCCATCCAGGGCACTCAGGGCCTGGGGCCACCAGCCCTTTCGCCTGGACATGTAGGGGGAACCTAAGACAAACGGAGCCTGGAGCATCCCAGCAGGCGTGTATATGGCCAAGGAGGAGCCAGTGGCTGAGTAGGTTCTGCAAGAGAAACGAGATTCACAGCTTAAAGCTGACAGCGCAGCCTGCAGAGGGAGGGAACTGTGTGGCTTGGGGTGGGGGCCTGGGCGGCCGGTGGGCCGGCCTCCGCAGACGTGCAGGGCGCAGGTGCAGCAGCTGAGATTGGAGGGCCCGCGGGCATGGCCGTGCACCGGCGCCGCGGCGCCGCCAGGGGTGAGTCACGGGAGGACAGAAACCGAAGCCGGCCAGCGTCAGCAGAGCCCTGGCTCCGGGGTCTGCCGCTTGCTGTTCGCCTTCACTTTCCTTCTGAGTCATTTCCTCGCTCAGCAAAATTCACGAGGGGAGGGCAGGCACCTCATGCCTCTGCCTCTCTGGAGCAGGGAGACGTCTGGAGGCAGAGCTGCGGGGCGTCCAGGAGCGAGCACGGGGTGGGGGACCGGGCACCGAAGACGGGCCCTGGGACGGGGTGGCCCACGGACCCTGGGCCTTCCACTGTGGGACACTGTCCCCTCACGGTGTGCGGGGTGCAGCTGGAGGCAGACAGAGTCCCTGTGAAAGGCCCGGAGAGCAAGACTACGACAGACGCCGGTTCAGCAGAACTTCCCCGCATCCGGCTCTCCGGGCACCCAGCCTGCCCGGCCCTGCGTGGAGGGTGTGCGGGCGGAAAGTCCTGTCCCCAAAGGGCACACGGACTGGCTGGGGATGTCGCCAGGAGACGAGAACAAACCGGTCGCTCGAACGAGCACAGTCCCCGCTGCCGGACGTGTGTGGTGGGCCAGGCGCCGTGCTCCCCGCACTGTTCGGTGTTGTCCTTGACCCCACGGGGCCCCCACGGGTTGGCCTGTCCCACCCCCGTATTGCGGCAGAGGACGGTGGTGCGGTGACTGGTCCCCGGTCACAAAGCCGGGAAGTGACGGGGCAGGGTGCCGAGCCGAAGGCCCCGACCTGAGCCGCTAACCCGGTGGTGACTCTCAGCCGTGGCTGTGATGACCCCAACATTACCGGTGCCCGGGCGCCTCCCAGACCGACCGATCAGGACACTGGGCTGGCCGAGGCGCCAGTGTTTTCTGAACGCTCCGGGCCCGCTGAGCAGGCCCCGGGGTGAGCGGGAAGGAGGGCCCCCCGCTCTGCCCAGGACCCTGGCAGCAAGGGCCCGAGGGGCCGGCACACTGTGGGGCGACTTCCCCCTTTGGCCGGGCTGATGCGTGAGCCCGGGTGGGGGTGCCCAAGGGCAGCCAGCTGCAGCACCCTGGGCCAGACACGCACCCAAGGGACGGGCGGGCAGAGGCATGTCTGAGAGGCTGCCGCACCCAGCACTGGCCCAAAGGCCGGCCGGAGTCCTGTGGGCTGCTGAGTCATCCCGCCTGAGGGCGGGCGTCCTGCAGGGCCGGGTCAGAGGGCTGTGGGACTTCAGCGTGGGCTCGCCTGTGCGCAGAGCAGCGGGCCTCGATGTGCCCCCCCCACCTCCACAGGGAAACGGTTCGGAAGTGCCTCCCGGAGAGACGACAGGACAATCCGGGACAGAAGGCCTGGGGGCGGTCACCGCAGGGTGGACAACACTCCTGGGAAGGGTCGGCTTTTTGGGAAGCAGCGTTTAAGGTCACGCGTGCCGTGAGGTCAGGGGAAGAAAAGCAGACACTTTCCTTCAGCGGAGAAGGAAGTGAGCAGGCCGGGCGGGGAAGGTGTCCCCCCCCCCCCGCCCCGGGGGTTTTATTCACACGCTTCCCAGCTGCACCTGCTCGCCTGCCCTCCGAACCTGTGAGATTCTGTGGACTTGGGGGCGGGGGGGACGGAAACCTGGGGAGGCGGGGCAGCGTTGCCGCCAGAGCCCCACCCCCCGGGGACCCCAAATGTGGTTAGGTCATGTGGGAACACGCTCTCAGCTCAGAACCCCAGAGCCCTACTTTCCCAGGTTCGTTGCCGCCCAGCTGCACACTGGGGGGTGGGGGAGAGGCACAGACGTTTTGCATTCACAAATCAAAGCCGAGAAAAGGAACACCTCTTGCACACCCCACACGGAGGGAGGGTAGGAGCCGCCTCCAGCCTCCGCCCCTCCCCGCTGGGCCCTCCAGTACCGTCCTTCCTGTGGGGGCGCGGTCACCGCAGCAGCTCAGCCTGCAGCCGGGTGGGGGGCCGGGCGGGGGGCCGGGCAGGGGGCCGGGTGGGGGCGGGGGCGGGGGCTTCCTCGTGTGCACCTGCTGCTCCGTTCCGCACGGCAGCCCAGGGTGTCCTGGCGGACAGGCCGTGATAACGGTCGCCATAGTTTTGCTGAAGTCCGTCCGTGGTCCGGTCTTTGCGGCGCCGCCCCAGCATGCACCCCCGCCCCGTGTCCGGGATCCTAACTCACGGTCACTCCCACGGGGGTCCCAGCAGACCCAGGGCTTGGGACCCAGCCGTCCTCAGGAGTCGGAGTCTCTGAGCTCGCAGCCCGGCTCCTGCGCCTCCGGCCCGCGGCCCCGCAGGGTGAAGAAGACCTTCCGGTAGGAGTGCCTGAATGCGGGGCTGGAGAAGCAGTACACCACGGGGTTCAGCACGCTCTGCAGGCCGGTGAGGCTGCTGGCCACCTGGGACGCGTGCACCAGGGCCGTCCAGACCTTGCAGCTGCCCGCCCCTCGGAAGGCGGCCAGCAGGACCTGGGCCAGGAAGCTGGGCAGGAAGCACAGCGCGAACAGCACCACCACCGCGGCCAGCAGCGCCCGGGCCCGCTGCAGCTTGGGCTGCTTGTCCGTGCCCCGCAGCCTCCGCCGGAGGGTCCGCAGGATGCCGGCGTTGCAGAACAGGATGAGGCCGAAGGGCAGGACGAACTGCGCGAAGGACAGCACCTCCTGCCAGGTGAGGCCGGCGGGGCCGCGCCCACGGGGCTCCGAGCCCGCGCACTCGGCGGCGGCGGCGGGCCCCAGCAGGTGTTGGTGGCTGAGGCCCACCATCAGGAGCCAGACGAGGACGGCGATGCCCCAGGCCGCCCGAAGGGACAGGAGGTTGACCCGGAGCCGGGGGTGGACCACGCGCAAGTAGCGGTCCACAGCCACCGCCGTGAGGAAGGCGACGCCCACGCTGCGCCCGAGGGCCCACAGGAAGAGCAGGGCCCTGCCGGGCGCGTGTCCGGGGCTGCAGGTCCTGCGCTGCAGGAGGAAGGCCGCGAGGAAGGGCAGGCAGAGGGTCAGCAGCAGGTCGGCCAGGACCAGGTTGAACAGGTAGATGGCGTAGGGCTTCCACACTCGCAGGCGGGAGAAGAAGGTCCACAGAGCCACGGCGTTGCCCAGCAGGCCCAGCCCGCACTCCAGCACCAGCAGCGTGGCCACTGCCACCTCCACCGCCGCGCTGGGCTCCGAGCAGTTCGGGGGCGGCATGGCCCTGCCCGCTGCTGCGGGGGGCCCAGAGCCGGGGGGGGGGGCCGCGTGGCCGCCCGAGGGAAAGAACAAGGCTGTCCCTTGCTCCCAGGCTCTGCCTGTTCTGGGCGTGCGAGCGCGGAAGCAGCGCCGGACCGGAGTCAAAAGCAAACTGAAGCCTCTCTGGAAAGAGGATCCGCGGGGGAGGCCAGCGCCCAGCTCCTCGCTCCTGTCATGCTTTGCCTGAAAAAGAGGAAACTGCGGTTCCCTTCCCACCAGCTGGTGGGAAGCTGATCGCTTGCGGCCAGAGAGCACCCGAGGGAGCGGGCTGGGCCCGCGGCGGCGGGGCAGGACCCTGCGAGGAAAGAGCAAGGGCCTGCAGCTGACGGTGCCTCCGGGAGCCGAGACCGGCCTGCGCGGCTCGCGTCCACTCGCGGGCGGTCAGGCCGTGTCCTGCCTTCCCCCAGGAGCGGGTCCGGTGGCCGGGTCACTCCACAGGGGGCCGTTTCCAGTTGTGCTTCTGCCAAGTTTTCCCTTCTGCTGAGGAGACCCCCCCTTTCCTCGCCTGCACCCCCGGACCAGGGTCCACACGAGGGGGCTCGGGCCCGAGAGTGCCGTGAACCCCGTGTCCGGTGCCAGAACGATGCCGGCACATCACGGAGCCAGCAGATGAATGTCGAGTGAATCCTGACATCCCGCCCCTCAGCTGAGCCCGGTTCACCTCGGTCCTGACCCTCTGCTGAGCCCGGTTCACCTCCGTTCCGCTCAGCCTGACTTGAGCTTCGGGGTCAGACGGGCTTTAGTCTGGTTCTGGTTCTTCCACGGAGCAGCACTGGGGCCAGGGGAGGCAGATACAGGCGCGTGCACCCCAGGGGCCTCGCCTGGGAGGGGCAGGGGCTGGTGCACGTTGGAGATGCCGGGGAGGAGCCGTGCGCCGCCTCCGGGATGTCGCGTGCTCCCCCGCGTCCCCGCCGCGGACTGCGCCGCCGCAGCGCGGTGAAGGGGGTGCCGACCCCAGCTCGTGCTGTGGATGAAGTGGAGGTGCAGGGAGGGGAGGTCACTTGCTCAGGGCGACAGGCCAGTGAGCATGGGGGGCGGGGCGGTCCCAGCCCAGGCTCCGGCCAGCGCCTGGGGTCAGGACCAGATGCCCAGCTGCCCGCCAGGGGACGGGAGCTGCACTGCTGCGGTCAGGACACGTCCAGGTCTCCGGAATCCGCGGAGCTTTGACCCGGGCCCTTTCGGGGGGCGTGGCCTGTGCGTCTCCGCGTTGGGTCCTATCAGGGCTCCTCTCCAGCCGGACCGCCCGCCCACCGCCCGCCCCCCTATCGCCCCCCTCGGCCTCACGCGGGGTCAGCTGCTTCTCTGTTTTCTAAGGACGTCCTGCGAGCACCCGGGATTGTGGCAATGTCTCAGCTGGCCCGCCCCCCCCCACGCCCCACCTATGAACACCTATGAACGGGGACCCGCCAACCGCATGCCCGGTATGAACAGTTCCCGGGAACCGGGAGGGAGGACGGAGTTCCGCCGCGTGCGCGCTGGGAGACCCCGGGCGGCCGCCGCCTGCCTGGGTCCGAGCGCCGACGCCCCGAGCCGCCCAGCCCTGGGGGGTGGGGGGTGGTGGGAGGTGCTAGCCCCAGGAGAGGAGCGAGTTAAAGCCCTTTCTCCCAACACCCCGACACCTTTGGCAGGCCGTAAAAGCTACCCCTTAATGACAAACTTCCATGTGTGCCGGAACTTTCCAAAGCACAGATACTCTCACTCGTTAGGTCAAACACAAACATCAAGAACGACACACATTCCTTTCGAACATGGGAAATCGAGGTGGAGCATTTTATTTAAACTCTGCTTTTTCTCAGCACACAGATTAACCTCCCCTTCTTCTAAAAGAGTGAACTGTCCTTACCGTCCTCTCTCCTAAAGCTGTACCATGGGGGCCTCGGCCTTGGGGGTCCCGCCTAAGGAGCTCTAACAGTCGGAAACGCTGTTTCCAGTCACCACCGCTGTTCCTCCAGCGCCCCCCCCGCAGGAAACTGCTCTGCTCTCCCTTCCATTCGTGAGGCGTGTGTTTTGTTTCTGTCCTCGTTCTGGAGTTTAAATGGCTGTGGAATCATTGCCTGAAACCCGCGCCACAAATTTAATGCTGTCCGTGTTTCCTTTCTGGTTTTCTCTGCTATGTCTGAAGGTCACCAGGAGGAAGACTCGGTGCCCACCGAGCCGTCGCGCTGACCCCGGCTTTCCCGTGCCCGGCTGTGGGGTCAGCCACCTGCGAGTTTGGAGGGCGGACCCCACCCCATTCCCCTGCCCACCTCGCCCACCGCCCCACTGCCCCCTCTCTGACGCCAGCGGGCAGCCTGGGCGTCCCAGAAGGGCTGGCAGAGCGCACTGCACGTGCCTCTGTTCAGGGTTGTTTTCTGTTGCAGAGAAAGGACGCAGGTCAGGGTCAGCCAGGGAGGAGGTGCGTGGGACAGAGGGCGGGAGAGTGACCGGTGTAGGGCCTCCGGGTCCTCTCCCCGGGGGTCAGGACGGGGCTGCCTTGTCTGCACAGATGCGTGATGGCCCCCGCAGCCCACTGGGACCCCCGAGCTTCCGAGTGCAGGGCCTCCATCGGAGGGGCCCCAGCCTGTGGCCCCCAGGCAGGGCAGGTGGACACCGTGCGGCCCAGCGCCCCTGCCACACCCCGCGGCGTCTGCTTGCCGGCCCCGTCCCCGGCGAACAGGGGCGCCCTGACCAGGCTTGACACGCCAAGGGCTCGGAGGTGACCTCCCAGCAGCTGAGGGCCACGGTCAGACCTCTTTTGGGGCACTTACATTCTTTACTGCACAGCCACTTATGCAAGTGACATTAGAAGGCAGGGTGGCCTGTTCTGCACTGAGAATGCACACACTTACAGTTCCTACGACACTTCCTAATTTCGAGAGGTGTGCTCCGGCGTGGGAGACCAGTGAGGAGGCAGACGTGTAAAAACACAACAGGACCCACTAAGCGTGCAGTGGAAGTGGGAGGAGGGGAACCCCGGCCGGGAAGGGGCCCCCGGCCGGCGGACACCCAGCCCTCGTGAGCCATCGCGGCCCGCTGGGGGCGGGCCGCTGACTTTCCTCTGCCCCAGCGACTTCTTGTGAACTCTCAGAAGTGCCTCACGTTTCACTTTCTTTCCTGGGTCCCAGTTCCAAGCGACCGCCATCCCCTGGGACCCTGCTCCCCTCCCAGTCGGGGACACCTGACTGTCACGTGGCACCCCGGGCCTCAGGAGAGAGGAGCCGCAGGCACTTTCAGAGAAAGGCTCGTTTCCGTGAAAGGAGGAGGAAGTCCCAGCGCAGGCCTGGGAGCTCGCAGGACGGGGTGTGGCCTCTCGGGTGTCCTGAGCGCGGGTCCGAGTGTGCGGCTGGTGCCCAAGAACCTCAGCAGCCTCAGGACACCCTGCGTGCGCGTGTCCTCGGGCGAGCGGGTGACCGATGCCCCCGTGATTCAGGCCTCAGAACACCATCGGTGTCAGAGGAAAAAAATTCAGTCCCGCAAAACAAGCTTTTCCTGTGCGACCACGGCGCTCACCCTCCACGCCTGGGCCACAACGGCGCCGTGTGCGGACACGCCCCTTGTCAGGACGCTGGTGTCCCCCTTGTTCCCTCTTCCTCCTCCTCCTCCTCCCTCCTTTATTTTTTCAGTGCAGGTTCAAGTCCAACACAGGGTTTCAGGCTGAAAGTGATGGACCCCCCCCCCCCCCCCGAGCAGACCCCCGGAGCGAGCGCGCACCGGGAGTGAGCTGTGCCGCAAAGTGAGAGGGTCATGCGTGGCCAGCGCTGGACACTGGGGTCAGGGGGCCGTTTGCGGGGCCGTCGCTGCCGGAGAGACTGCAGGGACGTCGCCACGTGGCGTCCCTGACGGTGTTTGGGTGAAACCGGTCGTTTTCCCATTCAGCAGTGTTGTTTTATCTTTTCAGTTGTCTGTTTCATTGAACTAACTGTTCTTCTAAGTAGTTAAAGGTGCCGGGGTGACATTGTCCAGCAAGGTCAAGTGTGCAGGTCTGTGACACATGACTGGACCCTGCACCGTGCACCCCCCCCCAAAGCCAGTCTCTGTCCGTCCCCACATATCGAGCCCCCCTTTCCCCTTTACTCCCCTCCCCCGCCCCTCCCCTCCGGTGACCCCCGCACTGCTGATGAGTGTCTGCTCCTTTATTCGTCTGTGTCTCTCCTCCTTTCTGGGGGTCAGCTCTTACACTGCGGGGGCACGCATGTGCTCACCCCTGCACCCCAGTCACCGCTCACACAGGGCTCTGGGTGGGAGGCGGCACCCAGCACGGCGTCTCCCGCTCACCCCGTGCTCCCCACCATCCAGGGGTCGCGGGGCCGCTCAGACGGCGAGGCGCTGGGGGACGGTGAGACTCGGCATCGCTTCTGCTGGTCGCAGCCGCGCACCCAGCTCTCTCCTCCTGAGCACGTCGTCCAGCGTCTGTCCGTTGTGACCTCAGAAGACAGCTCGTCTTCCTTCCAGGACAAGTGTAGGGCATTTACCTGGTGGAATACTACGCAGCCGTAAAAAAGGAAGGGAGTCTCGCCTTTCGCGACAGCACAGGTGCACCTGGAGAGCATTACGCCGCGTGAAACCAGCCTGTCGGAGAAACCCACGCGCCACGTGATCTCGGTCACACGGGGAGTCGGATGCACGACCCAGGAGCAGACTCACGGGGACGGGGAACAGGCTGGCGGCTCTCGGGGGAGCGCTGGGGGCTGGAGGAGGAAGGCGAAGGGATTAAGCCGAGAACAAAGCTCATGGACACGGATGACAGCCTGGCAGTTCCCAGGGGAGGGGGTGGGGGAGGTGGGGGGGAGGGGGCACATGGAGATGGAGGGGGCTTGGCTTGGGGGGGTGCCCACACGATTCAACAAGCAGATGACTAGCTGTGGAATTTGTGCACCTGAAACCCAGCGAATTTTGTTAGCAATGTCGCCCAATGAATTCAATTAAAACTAACTAAACTAATTAAATAAAATTTAAAAGAGAATAAGTGCTCAGAGAGTGAGTTCTTACTATTTATTACGTTCTGAAAACTGGTATTGAGCCCTTTCTCTGGCCGGCTGGGGGCTGGCTGGCTGTGCCCGGCCCCTGGGAGCAGGGGCGGCCCACCGCTGGCACGTGGGCGCCTGTGCAGCCGGGGCGTGGACTGGGAGGGCGGGCCCCTTTAAGACAGGGCGTCGGTTTAGAATCAGGCCGCTGTCTTCTGGTGTGCCCTGACGGTGGGGGGCAGCCGTGCGGGGACATGGCCCGGGGGGCCCGGCGCCTGGCCCCAGCGGCCTGCACGGACGCGTGAGGTGACAGAGCCCGGCCGGGGTGGCGGGGGAGAGAGGCCCCCCCAGACTGCGGGGTGGAAGGGATGGGCCCCCCCTCCCCCTCACACAGACACGCCCGGTTCAGAACAAAGAGAAAAAGTGCCCTTTGCGGGGTGACATGGGGGACCAGCCCGCGCTGCCTTCTGGGTGCGGCCTCCCTAAAACCCGCCCAGGCAGGGGCGACCGAGTCCCCGGGTCGTCAGCCTTTGTTGGGAGACTCGGTCCCCGAGGAGACGAGCTTCGAGGGCCGTGTTGGACGGTGCGTTCCGATGCCCGTGGGTGGTCTGAGGGGCGCGCCTTTCTGGCAGTGCTCATCGCTCTGGTTTTCGGGGGGCCATGAGCTTCCCGGGACAGGCAGAGCTGCCCCGAGTCTCCCGCACAGAGGCTGCTCCCCCTGCCCCGCCCTGCCCACACGGGCCCTTTCTTCTAAGGCCCCAGCCCGCCAGCAGGGGCCCGCCAGCAGGATCCCGCCCCCCTCAGCGCTGTTTGGGGACGGTGCCCAGCTGGTGGCCACGTGCCTCTGCCTCCTAGGCACGGGGCCTGCAGGTGCCCGCTGCGGTCGCTCACCTTCTCTGCGGGAGGCATCGGACGGCCCGTCTGTCCATCACCCCAGCAGCCGGGTCTGGTTCACATTTTCCGATGGGTGCACCTCGGCCGGTGCTGGCTGAGGCGCTGAGCAGTCCCCAGGTTTCCACGGAGACAGTCCTGGGCCCATCTGAGAGACCCCCGAGGGGCGCTGCCGAGGAGAGGCAGCCCCAGGTGGCCCGCCTAGGCCCTCCCCCGCTCTCCCGTTGTGGCCCCCAAACCCCACAGCGTTCTGCTGGGTGGGTGCTGAGCACTGAGCGGCAGAGATGGGCTGGACCTTGCACTCCTTCCTCAGAGGGTGCGGGGCCGGCACCCCGCCTCCCGCCTCCTGACGGGGCCCCCTCCCCTCCAGAATGCTGGAACCCCACCTGGAGGCTGAGCGGCCAGCACACACCGGCTGCCCCGGGGACCCACAGGCCGGGACCAACCCTGGGAAGACAGCCGAGCGCCCCCGGGAAGGCGGTGGGGCCGAGGAGTTGCTGGTGAGCTGGGTGCCTCGGGGTCATGCGGGGTCATGCGGGGTCATGCGGGGTCATGCAGGGTTGTGCGGGGTGCGGGGGACTTCGTGGCACCAGCTGGGAGCACCCCTCCCAGCGTCGGGTCTCCCTGCTTCCTCGTCCTGCAGGGCCGGGAGGTGACGCACTAGCACAGAGAGGGACCCCCGTCCTTCCGGGGGGTGGGGGTGGGCAGGGCTGTCTGCCCTGCGGCTGTGTGTTCTGAGGTTGGGGCGGGGCGGGGAGCCCCCCCGGGTGCGGCAGCTCAGCGCTTCTGACCTGAGAGAAGGCACAGGCCGGGACAGCCCCGCTGAGGCCGACGGGAACCTTCCCCCGACTCGGCTGTCCCCCCAGAGCCCCAGAACCCCGAACTCGGCCGCCTCCTGTCTGACGCCATCGCCGGGTGCACACCTCTCTCCCCACGGTCCCCGGAGCGCAGACGACCCCGCACGCCCCCGCACGCCCCCCCCCCCCCCGTGCCCTCTGTCCAGGGGCACCTCCTGCGGTGAAGGGTCTCGTGGAAAAGCTAGCGTGTCGGGTTAAAGGCCGTGGCTTCTGACCTCTAAACAGCCGGGGGAATGTCCGTTTCGGTAAAACTCTGGTTTCT